ATATATATATATATAAACCAAAATTGTTAAGATTTTATAGATAAACTTTAATGTATCTGTGCTGTTGATAGGATTATTTTTACAAGTGAGACATTATCTAATGTCGAAGTTAGAGGAACAAATCTTGACTACCATAATGACTAAATTTAAATATTACTTGAAGTCACATCATTATTTAAAAAGGTTCAATCTCTGTTTAATTAATCTTAACAATATAATTTATTATTAACCTCACTAATTAATACTTACTTTTTCACTCTCACACAAAAAAATATCTGTGTAAGTGTTTGTTGAGAGATCTCACCTGTGAATGATCACATGATTACATCATACATAGTTGTTAAAATATTTAATTTGCTTTAATTAAAAAATAATAATAACTAATTCAAATGATGGATTAACTAGACTTTCAACCCTGTGTACCTCTAAAGAGGATGTCTCTATATTTATATTTTATATGTCTGCCTTTGTGATTTTAAAACTTATTCGTTACTGTATATATCTGATTAAAATGTGAATGTTATATTTTGGTAAAATAATTTAATTTTACTATCAATATATAATACTTGTGTGGTTAAAATCTTGTCAAAGTTGCAATCTACTAAAACCCTCTTAAATCTTGAATGAAAAAAAAAAGTTCGTATTTTTCAAGAAGATATTACTGACACAGTTTTGAAACTAGTTTAATAAATCCAAAATTACGTACACTTCGATTTTTAATTAAAAGAAAACGAAAATATATAACAAGTTCAGAGTGTGCGCGTAGCAGCGCGTGGTTGACGAATACTACGAACAATTGCGCAAGTTACTACGTACCACTCTTCCACTTAAAAATCGTTGCTTTCGTTTATTTTTTGTTCCCCTAATGAACCAGTTAGAGAAACATGCAAGTTTCACTCTTGCAAAGAAAGTAGCAAATTTTTTTCATAATTTATGGTGAAAAATAATAATTTGAATTGATTATGAAAAGGGTTATTAGGGCGAAATACCCCTAGGTAGGAAGTGTAACTAAAATTGGATTGTGTAAATGATATATAACCTAAAACAATGGTTGATGTGTTTGAGTTCAAACTCTTGAATGAGCGCCATAAATTTGCTTATATTAGTAAAATGCACGAGGCGATGTGATTGAAAAGTTGTGGGGAGTGAAAGAGATGTGATACCATACTCCCTAACCAAGTCAAAATGTGTTATAGAATAGGTTACGGAAGCCATTGAGTTTAACTTTTAATCCCTAAAAATTGCCAATAGGTGGCAAACAAGGCCTTCAATGTAGACGACCTAGAGTGTGACTAAATGGTCACAAGTTATTAACCCTAGTGCTAATTACGCAATAATAATTGCTTTGATGATGGAAGCACAATAACAAAAAAAAATAAGGGAAAAAATAAAGCATGATTTATACTAATAGTACCATTAAAGCAAGAAATAATGTAGGGAAGGAAGAAAAAGAAGCGCTAAAGCACTTTCATTGGTCCCATGCCATGTTCCCTCACTACCCCTTTGATGTGATATCCAAATTTTTTATATATCTAATGCTTTTTTTATAAAATTTTCTTCCACTGCTATTGTATTGAGTGTCAGTGTGTTTATGTGTTTCTATTTGTCTTCTTTTCTTCCCCACCAAAATTTCCCTTTCACAATTCACAAAAAGAAATACTAAATGATTTGTCAGTAGCAGGCATGTCCAGCAAGGGAAAGGAGGTAGCAGAAGGGTCATCAAGAGCCTCTGGAGGGGGTGATGATCACCATGATCATCATGATCATCACAATCAGCAGCAGCATCAGCAACAGCAACAACAACAACAGTTACCACTGAGTCGCTATGAGTCTCAGAAGAGAAGGGATTGGAACACTTTTGGACAGTACTTGAGGAATCAGAGGCCTCCTGTGGCACTTTCTCAGTGTAGTTACAGCCATGTTCTTGAGTTCCTTCGTTACTTGGATCAGTTTGGGAAAACCAAAGTGCACTTGCAAGGGTGCTTGTTCTTTGGGCAAAGTGAGCCACCTGGACCCTGCACTTGCCCTCTTAGACAAGCTTGGGGAAGCCTTGATGCACTCATTGGAAGATTGAGAGCTGCATATGAAGAAAATGGAGGCCTTCCTGAGACCAATCCCTTCGCAAGTGGTGCCATAAGAGTCTATCTTAGAGAGGTCAGGGATTCTCAAGCTAAGGCTAGAGGAATCCCTTACAAGAAGAAAAAGAAGAAGAGGAACATTATCAAGCCCAACGGAGACACCTCCTCAAACTTGCCTTTGCAGTAATATATTATAAGTTCTATATAATTACCCTTCATCAGGACCATGTGGTAAATTTTCTTCCTCACTTCTCTTTAATTTCTAGATTTTCTTCCCACATGGAAAATTAAGGATGGTACTTGAAGCTTTCAGATTGTTATATGCACACAAAGGACACAATTGAACAATTGAGTTCTGTAGTTTTTGAACAATACACTCTGTAGTTAATGTTTGCTGCTTGAATTTTCAGCACTGAGAAAATGAAAATTCATCAATCATTTATCCCATCAGCACACAGTTCTATAAAAAACGCAGTAATAAGTTCACTCTACATTAAACCCTAATTCACGGAGTTCAAAACCCTAAATTGTATGTATCTAGTTACATGTTATAAATTGTGTACTAACAGTAAATACATACACTTTACCTCAGTTTTGTTTCTTTTGAACATTGAAAGAGCATACAGTAGAAGAATGGGTAAATTAATGCACTCTCATCATCCATTGTCTCTTTGTCGCTCTCACATGCAACAAGACAATGCTACCATAGAGTTTCTGCATTTCGTAAATATGTCTTTTTGTGCCTGTATATTATCATATAATATATATTTACTTGTATAAGAGTTTGCTTTTCCGCACGATCTTACTTCCTTCCTTCATGGTACTCTCTTGTTGTGGCTTCCACAAGATGTAACCACTGCAATGATATGAAATTTGAGAATTTAAAATTTGATTTGTGAAAATATTATCTTGGTAACTATATTATATACAAAAATATCTTGGGGAAAAAGGTTCAAGATCCATGGTTGTGGGAAAATTAGATGCTGTTTCTAGAGTCTTGTCTGCTCGTGGTTTATAAATTTCATTGGCGTACCAGCTAGAGCCCAAAATCTCTTTTCCTTCATAAAGTTTTGTCTTATTCTAACGAATTTTGTTTCTTCTTTTCTCATTTCCCATCATATGAATGTCCTTTTCTTTCGTGCTGTTATATGTATATGTGACATTCGTACATAAAAATCGCATCGTCTTTCCACTACCTGCTAACACTCCAAACTCACTGCACAATCACCATGGCCACACTCTATATATCTTCCTGCGCTTTTTTACATTTTTTTTTCATCTTAAGGGAAATTTATATATTTATATACAGTTTTATCCCAAAAGGGGTTGTTCATAACCCCATTGTGTGACTGATCTATATACATATATATGTCCATGTTGCACGAATTTAACTTCTGTGTTTCACTTTTCAATTGATTTCAGATCTCAAAGTTGTTTCAAAATCCTGAATCTGTTGCTAGGTCTTGGATATAACTTCAGCTGCAGTGTTGGAACATAATCGACTATCTAGGCGTATCCCTGGTTCAAGAAGTGTATTTTTTTTATTTCGAATGCGAATTTAGAATGAAGTTGACGAAGAGTTTAACATTGGGGTGAATCCCTGTATTGTATTCAATTATATATATACACTATCAAGCATATATATATATATATATGAAAATAATCTTGAATTTTCTCTTTGGCAGTGTGTATGATATTGCAAACACAGGTATATCTTTTGATTATCTTGAAACTTTGACAGATTTTGCTGGTGTTTAAAGATTCGTTATTTATGCAAATACAAAATAGGACGTGTATTTGAATAAATTAAAGAGACACATTGAAATTAGTTGGTAAGCAGTGACACGAACATTGATACTAATTAACTTTTTCACAATCCATGAAGCATGGTATCCCCACAAATATGTAATATGATGTCCCACAATTGATGCATATAATGCAAGTGATGAAACCTTAAAAAACATTGGATACCTTCTTGGTCCTCTTCAGTTTAATTAATCAATATCTTTGACTTGATCGCTCCCTGTTTTTTCATTTGCTTAACTAAATGATTAAGACTATTTCTTTCAATTATATAGATCGATTTGATGCTAGATACTGTCGTCCTCCTAATAGCTATATCAGGCATATTTCTGGGTACTTTTTTTAACCCGATCGAAGAAAAGAAACATTCTATTATATATACGTTACAAAGACTGTTACAATATCCCTATGAAAACATGTCCACTCAGGTTGCTATATACTTAGAGATTAGGTCTAAAGTTTTGCCTACAAAACCTATAGATCCGTGTTCTATATAAATGGGATCTAGCCATGAGAAATTAAATATGCATATGATTATTTGTCAATCATGTTGTTCGTCCACTGAAATTTACTTTTTTATATTGGAATTGAAATATTGATGATAACATGTAGCTTTAATGGTGGGGAATATGAGACATTAGGCTATAGCTCAATCCTTTAGCAATTTATAACTAGATAGTGAGTGTGTGTGACCAAATTATATCGTGTTTTTTGTTGCAATGCTATGAGAGAGTTGCATATAGCATTGTGATGTGACTGTGATTGATTGTCTAGCTATGACATTTTGCCAAGGTTTGTAATCTCTTGCTATTTATTTGTAAGCTTGGAGTGAGGTTTCTATTTATAGTAGACATGTTATTGTTACACAAATTGTTGTGAATTTCAAAACTCACTTTTGCACTTAATAATTAAAAGGGAAAAATGGACCCACTAACATTGAGGTGAAATTAAACTTTTTTGTTCAAAAAAAAAAAATCAAAGTCTAAATTGTTGTGTTTGTTGGATGAAGAGAAATTAGTATATAGGAGCAATCTGTTGATATAATGATAGAAAATTGATGAGGATATGAATTTTGCAAAGGACACTAGTGAATTAGTTGTTGATGGGACCTTAAGCTTGGGTTTCTGTTGAAAGATCCGATCCATGATTTAATGCATTAATTGCAATTCTATTAATATTAAAGTAGGTCCATTAGGTGTTGTGCCGTTGTGGTGCGGCAATTTCGAAAAATGCAGTTAGAGTGGGTCCTAAAGCCACAATATTTTCTTGATTAAAAACCTTAGCCTATAGTAGCATAAAATAAATAAAAAAATTATAGAAAAAAACGTCCTTGGTTTATTGTGATGTTTTACTTTAAAAACATAGTTCTTTTATAGCAAATGCTAGAGACTTTGGGTGTGTTTATATCGAAAATAGAAAGAAATAATGGTAGTTCTCATCACTAGGCGATGATGAAAATGGTGATCTAGCTGTCTACTAATGTAGTAATTTTTAATTAATATTCGTCCTACTTGTAGCTAGTAGTATTACAAATCTGTTTTTGGAAGAGAAGAGTTTTAGAGAAATCAGCTTCACCCCAATCAAGATTAATTTCAAATTACATTTATAGGTTTGTAGGGTTAATCAAAATGAGGTCATAAGTTTCAACATCTATGAAGTCATTATTCATAAAAGAATTACCTAAATCGACGCTACTAGTTGATTATCGAGATTTTAAAAATTTAAATTATAAAATTAACGATACAAAAGATTTTAGAAAGTTTAATCAATAAGCTACATTTTTACCATAGTAATGGGACTTGAACCCAAAGAAAAAGTCATGTTAGCTATGATATTGAGAACTTGTATGTAAATTACTCTAGAATTTAATTAGAGTTATGGAACAAAACATTCTCTTAAGAAGAATGCTTCCATGTTATTCTAACACGATGACTTTAATAATATCATTGTCCGGTGCACGTCCGGTTCACATGCTCAATTACAACTATCTCAGGTTTTCTGTTACAAGTGTGGGTTAACATTATATGCTTTACAATTCAATTTTTCATCACATTTTTATCTTTAAACTTGTTCTGAGGAATTAAAAGAAAAAAATATTTAAATTATTTTTAACTTAATAATAAAATTATAACAAGAACTACAACAATAACAATTTTAAGGAAAAGAAAGTGTATTGTATGATCGATCTTGGACCGAAGAGTCTATACAGTCAGAATTACCACTAAAGTGACTATAATGATCATTTTCAAGATCGAATAGCTATAACCTACAGACCGAACGATCATTCTTAAGAATGATTAGATCTCATGATGATTAACTTACGACAAAACATGATTAATATCAATTGGACCATGATTAGCAATTCGAAACACATTCCAAAATCTATAAATACTTCAAATAAAGAGATAGATGATTGCATTTATTATGCGTTATGTAACATCCCAAAAAATATAGCTTTAAACTATACTTAAGAGTCCTTACATCCATAATAAAATAGAACAGTTTACAAGAAGAATAAATTTAATTTACAACTATCCTAGAATAACCATAAATTTAAAACTTTACAGAAACCTATACTAACACAACTCATAAGATCAGACTGATCATTCATACAAGCAACGTATTAAACCGAACGGTCTTTTACTAATACAAAACCAGCACCAGACCGAACGGTCTTACCTTAGCAATAATCATCTTCTCCTGCTATCGTCTGCTACAGAAAAACTTCAGCTCCTTCTGCTCACACCTACAGATCATTGCAAGGATGAGGACGACCGAAAGGACAACCAGACAAGACAGGAAAATAAGGCTAAGCTAGTGTAATTTAATTAACTATGTAAACAGATTACTCACATAAATCTGATATAAATCAATCAGTCCATCATGTAACAAACAATCATACATTTCCACCCATAATCGTACCACAATGCATGCATTGACTGTTAACTTTACTCTGAATGCCAAGAATGTATGAATTATATAGATACGACGTTCTTGCACTCGTGGAAAGGTAATATGGAAAACCATCAGAATTACCATAGCTGGAAACCCAAGCCGCCACACGAGGTTAGCCCTTCATCCCTCACTATAGCTGGAAACCCAAGTCTACACATGAGTTTAGTCCGATAGCTGGAACCCCAAGCTATACGCAACCAGGCCTCCTGCTATTCTGACCACATGCGCCACCATTCTCTACTTCAAACTCGGTGACCATTAGAATGTCAGGATGAACGACAACTTAGTCTGACCATATTCATACTTTACCATTCAATAACCAATCTTGAGATATTCCTCCCTAGAATACTCTTTCATACCCATATGATTTCATGTGTATCACAATTTAAATACCATACTTCATTAACAACATATTTCCTCATTTGTCATATCTTTAAATACATATCACACATCACAGTGAAACAATAATCCCACCTTTAAACCAAACCGAACGTGAAAGTTCAACATAACCTATGAACAACAACGAACAAGAGAGCACTCCCAATATGAGAATATGACCGAATGGTCATTTTGAGAATAAGACTCAAGTAAGAGTCGAAAATTTGAACTTATATCAAGCACTTATGATTTGGAAAAAATAATATAGGATAAGATCGAACACTGTTAACTTAGTACAATTTACGATATTGAGCACTAGTATAGGACCAAGCGCTATCACTAGCCTAAGAGCTAGTATAAGACTGAGCGCTATCACTAGCCTAACTACTAGTACAAGACCGAGCGCTATTACTAGCCTAACTGCTAGTACAAGACCGAGCGCTATTACTAGCCTAACGGCTAGTACAGTACCGAGCGCTCTTTAAGAAACCGAGTATCAGACTAAGACCGAACACTCTTTAAGAAATCGAGTATCAGTCTAAGACCGAACACTCTTTAACTTAGACTAATCATTATAGGCTTAGGCCGAACACTTAGGGCTCATGCCGAACACTAAGAGCTTTAACCGGACATCAATACCAACCAAGTACCAATACAAGACCAATCACTACTGAGACCGAGCGGTAGTACAAAATAAGCACTACCGAGACCAAGCGCTTCTAAGGTCGAACGGTCATGAATTGGGAGGACTTCAAACACACCAAACCCAATTAATAACCGAACACAAGAGAAGGTTGAACGGCCAAATCAGAGCATGGCCGAGCGGTCAACCCCGAACCCTTATTGAACTACATAATTCTGCAGAATAGCTACAGAATAATGATCGACACCAAACATTACCAATTTCACTATACTCGTCCAACCTCTAATGCTCCAAACATATATCAAACACTTCTTTATACTGGACTAAGATTACTTAAACTTTTCTAACATTGCTAAGAGAGTTTCATCACAGATTTGAGAATCAATTCTGCAGAATCATAAACTCAATGACCGGGAATCATATTTCCTATACAGACCATGATGGAATCCTGTTTGACGTAGTCCTGCTTTTGTATTTCATAGCTTAGCTCCTAAGGAGCATGGGTTACTATAAATATCCAACTCATCTCTTGTATTAGCACTTTTGAGAATAATGAATTAAACTTTCTGTAGAGAGAACTCTAGAATTTAATTCCCTTGAAAGTCAAGGCCAGGGAATGCCAAAGGATCTCCTCTAGCCACCTTCCATCTCACTCTATCATTCTCTCATTTTCCATTAGAAGATTCTCTCTCCTCCGTAGCATCCATCTCACGCCACTCTCACCAATTACTAGCTTCCTCGTGGCTTGCGTCAAGTCTACTGCCACGCGTTTTCCATCAGCATAGCTTCCATATCCTCATTTCGCGTCCTCACTACGTTTTCTCTCCCGAAAGCTCTTCAACCACAAACCTCATCCTCATCATCGTTGAACCTTC